AATAATTGTTAAAATATATCTGTCATTTGTGTGTTTTTAGCTTTCTTCCTGTATGGGAAGCTTTTCAAAATTTGAACCATTAGTGCAGTGGTTTATGTTAAAATAAACCTTTGGGTTAAGTTGTCGCAAGCAGGTTTTTCTTGTGTTTCTTGTCAATTTGGTCTTAAATTTTTATTTCAAGTGACATTAGAAAGTCTTTAATTTAACTGCCCTTATGCTGTAGGAACCCAGAAATAGGAGAAGCTGCGCAAGTGATATTGGACACTGCCGTTGGACAACATGCGATTATTTATAGATCTTTTAAATCAGGTTGGGTCTGGGTTAGCCAGCAGGTGGGTCCGGATCCGCTAATCTGTTATTTAGAGCAGTGGGTTAGATCAGTGCGCTTGTTCTCTGAGAAGGTTGTAAGTACCAGGTTTGATCCCCACAGCCTTCACTCTGAGTTCCTGAGCAAAACCCTTAACCCCACACTGCACCCTGGTTGACGCACAATGGCAGCCCACTGCTCCTCACGGGATGTGTCAAATGTAGAGAGTAAATTACCCCATTATGGGACAATATAGGGATTTACCAGGGAGCCCAAGTCACCTCATCCTCAGCAAAACATGCATAAACTATACAATGCATGGGGTTTTAACGCATCCATCATTTTTTGTTGGTTTCAAAAGAAAAGACAATTAACTTTCTAAGAATCTAAAGCATTCCTGGTTCTCTGAAGGTCCAAAGCTTTTTAACTGATTTTCCAATCCATTGAACTGACCCCAGCAGCAGGTTGTAGAGGATGTGAGCGTACTGGGACTAGTTTTATGAAAATAGCTTTTTATGTAAATAGCTTGCAGCACTTTAAAGGGGCCTTTGCACTTTATTAAAAATAGCTTGGTTAGCACTAGGACACTTTATTTAGCACTGCCCTTTAAGCATAGATTTGCACTTAAAGAACAATTTGAACACAAGATTTTTAAAATATTTATTGAATATTTATTGTGTTTGAATAGTTAGCTTGTAGCCGTTTGTTCCAGGCTCTCCACAGCTGCTCTCCATTAACAATTGGGGTTGTTGTCTATGGAAAAGAGAATTGATGTTTAGAGCAAGCAAGGGTTAGTGTTTGAAAACTTTACAAATGTTAGTGTAAAGTCTGTTGGAAGTGAGTGCAAAAGAATTGCTGTGGTGCTAGGAAAGTGACTTACCTGTCTTTTCTGTGTTCTCTCCAGGGTGTTTTGACAAATGCTTCTCTTCTTGTGAGGTTTTATGGCGGTTGACAAACTAGTGAAAAGTGCATTACCACTACCAACTGATAAGGAGTTAAGCAAGGAAACAGGAAACGACTTTAATTTCTTTCCCACATTTTCCATATTCGTGCTCTCCTGCACACCTTCCACATCACTGTTTTCCTTTGCATACTGCTGCTATATGTCCCAATTTTTGCCATTTGAAACATCTTAGAGGTGGAGGATTGTACATTTTGACATTGTAGCTCATACACTCACCGGCCACTTTATTAGGTACCCCATGCTAGTAACGGGTTGGACCCCCTTTTGCCTTCAGAA